GCAAATACAGAATGCATCTTTGCATTCTGGAGTACTGTGTCCAGTTTTGGGCCCCAAACTACAAGAAAGATGTGGAAAAATTGGAAAGAGTCCAGCGGAGGGCAACAAAAATAATTAGGGGGCTGGAGCACATGACTTATGAGGAGAGGCTGAGGGAACTGGGATTGATTAGTCTGCAGAAGAGAAGAATGAGGGGGGATTTGATAGCTGCTTTCAACTACCTGAAAGGGGGTTCCAAAGAGGATGAATCTAGACTGTTCTCAGTGGTACCAGATGACAGAACAAGGAGCAATGGTCTCAAGTTGCAGTGTGGGAGGTTTAGGTTGGATATTAGGAAAAACTTTTTCACTAGGAGGGTAGTGAAACCCTGGAATGGGTTACTAGGGAGGTGGTGGAATCTCCTTCCTTAGAGGTTTATAAGGCCCGGCTTGACAAAGCTCTGGTTGGGATGATTTAGTTGGGGATTGGTCCTGCTTTGAGCAGGGGGTTGGACTAGATGACCTCCTGAGGTCCCTTCCAATCCTGATATTCTACGATTCTATGATTTTTTCTCTCCTCTTCCTTCCCAGCTGTGATCCCTGGCAAAGGCTCCAAGATGGGATAGGTGTTCTCAGGGTTACATTTGGGGGCCAATAGGAAGCTTAACCCTTCCCTTGCTGTGTCCCATGGGAGAGCTGGGTTTTTCTCTTGCTGGGAGAAGATGGGGTGAGGTTTGCTCCTTTCTTGAGTTGCTCAGTCAAAAATCAAAGCTGTCTGACACCTTGGCTTCTGTCTTGTGTTTCCCTGTCCAGCAGAGAGTTGCAGAACAGGCTTGCCAGGGCGCTTGGCACCCACATATGGGGTCCATGTTGGTCCCAACCCTGTGATGTGACCACACCCACCAGGGCCCTCCCCTAGAGGCATCTGGGTGGCCCCATCACCATTCCTCCTGGACCAGGGTGGACCTCTCGCATCTTCAGTCCCTGTCCTTAGGAGGGGCAAGGTCTGTCCCAAAGGAGGGAGGACTCAGCCCCCAACCATCCTTCTGTGTGAGGCTGCATCCTAGCAAGTTCCACAAGTTCACATTTCACTTTCCACAATCTTGTAGTGTGGGGCCCAAAACTGGACACAGAACTCCAGATGAGGCCTCACCAATGTCGAATAGAGGGGAATGATCACGTCCCTCAATCTGCTGGCAATGATCCTACTTATACAGCCCAAAATGCCATTAGCCTTCTTGGCAACAAGGGCACACTGTCAACTCATATCCAGCTTCTCATCAACTGTAACCCCTAGGTCCTTTTCTGCAGATCTGCTTCCTAGCCATTCGGTCCCTAGTCTGTAACAGTGAATGGGATTCTTCCGTCCTAAGTGCAGGACTCTGCACTTGTCCTTGTTGAACCTCATCAGGTTTCTTTTCGCCCAATCCTCTAATTTGTCTAGGTCCCTCTGTATCCTATCCCTACCCTCCAGCGTATCTACCACTCCTCCCAATTTAGTGTCATCTGCAAACTTGCTGAGGGTGCAGTCCACGCCTTCCTCCAGATCATTAATGAAGATATTGAACAAAACTGGCCCCAGGACCGACCCTTGGGGCACTCCGCTTGATATCGGCTGCTAACTAGACATGCAGCCATTGATCACTACCCATTGAGCCTGACGATCTAGCCAGCTTTCTATCCACCTTATAGTCCATTCATCCAGCCCATACTTCTTTAACTTGCTGGCAAGAATACTGTGGGAGACTGTATCAAAAGCTTTGCTAAAGTCAAGTCCTGCCCTTAGGACGGAAGAATCCCATGCACTGCTACAGTGGCAGTTCTGTAGAAAAGGACCTGGGGATTACAGTGGACAAGAAGCTGGATAAGAGTCAACAGTGTGCCCTTGTTGCCAAGAAGGCTAACGGCATATTGGGCTGCATTAGTAGGAGCATTGCCAGCAGACCAAGGGAAGTGATTATTCCCCTCTATTCGGCACTGGTGAGGCCACATCTGGAGTATTGCATCCAATTTTGGGCCCCCCACTACAGAAAGTATGTGGACAAATTGGAGCGAGAGAGTCCAGCGGAGGGCAATAAAAACGATCAGGGGGCTGGGGCACATGACTTACCAGGAGAGGCTGAGGGAACTGGGCTTGTTTAGTCTGCAGAAGAGAAGAGTGAGGGCGGGATTTGATAGCAGCCTTCAATTACCTGAAGGAGGGTTCTAAAGAGGATGGAGCTTGGCTGTTCTCAGTGATGGCAGATGACGGCACAAGGAGCAATGGTCTCAAGTTGCAGTGGGGGAGGTCTAGGTTGGATATGAGGAAAAACTTTTTCACTAGGAGGGTGGTGAAGCACTGGAGTGGGTTACCTAGTCAGGTGGTGGAATCTCCATCCTTAGAGGTTTTTAAAGCCCGGCTTGACAAAGCCCTGGCTGGGATGATTTAGTTGGGGTTGGTCCTGCTTTGAGCAGGGGGTTGGACTAGATAAACTCCTGAGGTCTCTTCGAACCCTAATCTTCTATGATTCTAAGATTCCTCATAGTAGAGGGCTATTTAATCTAGTGCAGTGAACAACAATCAAACTGGCTATAAGACAGACATGTCTGACAGTGAGAGTATTTAACTACTCAAACACATTATCAAGGGATGTGATGAATTCTGAATTCAGAGTCTTCCAGTGAATGAGTTTGGCTGTTTTTCTAAAACATATGCCTTAATTTAATCACAGATTGCTGGACTAGATGCAGGAATGACTGGATGAAATTCTAAGGCCTGGTGCTGTGCAGAAGGTCAGACTAGAAATTAGATGACCATAATGGTCCTTTCTGGACTAAAAAAAAATCTATGAATAATTTAACCACAGGGTGGCATACTAGAGTCATGCCATAGACCATGGAGTTTCTGAAACTATTCCCACATAAATAGGCTGTCTTCACTTTTCTAGGTTAGCTTTGTGAGAATGAGCACCATCTAATCGACAAATGTCCTCACTGCAAAACAAATATGAACAAAAGTGGCTTGCTAAATAATTAAGGATCCTTCCCAAGCTCCAAAACACAATGTAATCTCTTCCAGAGCCATTTAGATTTCAGAACAGTAACCACTCCCTAAACACAGTAGAATTAACTCCTTGCCCACTCACAGTACAGTATCTTAGAAATGTCTGATTTTTACACAGCAAACTGTCAACTTATCACAGCCACTAATACAGACCCACACAAAATACACCTTTATTGGATTGGGACAACTTGACTGTGACTTTGGTTTTGAAGAAAATCATTTTAGATTTCAAACGATGCCCCAGAGTTGGGACTTTTTGTAAACCTAAACTGCTAGATGGACTGGAGAGGCTGTAGATGTTGGTAATACATGAAAGTGTCCTACTTAAACTGTCAGTTACCTCAGAAAATATATATATATTTACACAACAAATAACTAAGTGTAGGAATACATGCTGGTGAAACATCCTGGCAATTAACACTGACAACCCAATGACAGGTTTGTACAGGCCTGACACGGAATATGTCACAACCAAGAAAGTAGAATCAGTTTGACTGTTAATATTTCTGCATGCAATGCAGAGAAGTCCGGTAGCTCTCTAAGAAAAGTCATTCTGAAAAGCATTAACTCATTTGGCTCATCACCCAAATTGGTGCCCTTGACATCTGTGGCTGTTCAGTAATAATTAATCCACCTTCTCAGCTAGAATAGTTTATCACCTTGAACAATAGCAGCCATTCACCAAACTACAGAGACTATGGGCAGTAACTTTTCTCTTTCACGTGATAAGTTCCTTGCAGTCAGGTCGCTACAAGTCAGCAGACTTTTCTCTTTCCAGGTCTTCAGCTTCTGAGGCTGCTCTACCAGTGAACAGGAGAGCTCGGTTGGGTGGGACCAAAGACACAATGGAACTATACAGACGCTTTTCCTGGCAGTTTTCCTTTTACCATGTGTGTCTCTGTATCTCTGCTTGTCTTTGTGGGAAGATTGCTACTCTGGGGTTGGTTCATCCTGTCCATATAACATCACAACCCCCCAGAATCAGTGCCTCTCAGTTTACCTTCCCCAGGATCACCCCCAGTGTAACACCCCCCCCGGGGGGGGTTGCTCAATTCATTGCAAACCCCTGGGATTGCTCCTCCACTGTAACCCCCACGGAGTTGCTGACTCCCACTTGAAATGCCCCCAAGACTGTCCCCCCAGAGATGGTTCCCCTCATTGCAACCCCGGGAATGCTCCCTGAAGTGTCAGCCCTGCAGCTCTCCCCCTGGGATTGCCTCACTAGCTGGAGCCCCCTCACCACTGCTTCCCCTACTACCTCTGCCCAGCACTTTGTGTCTGTTGTAAGCCCACGCTGACTAGGGTTGCTACACTCAGCGCATGCACTGCTCTCAGGGGTGCTTCCCTCTCCCCCGGGGTCACGCCCCAGCAGCACTGTGCCCATGCCCCCGCTCTCCTTGCTTAGCCCCGCCACCCCTGGAACTGGTGCCCCTGAAGTAAACCTCTATTTGGCTTCCCCCCGTGTAACACGGGCACACCCTCACCCAAGGGTAAATCTCCCTGCACGCCTCGGTGCAACCCCCCTCTGCACCCTCCACCCAAGGGTAACCTCCCCCATCCCTAGATGCAACACACCCTCACCCAAGGGTAAATCTCCCTGCACGCCTCGGTGCAAGCCCCCTCTGCACCCTCCACCCAAGGGTAACCTCCCCCATCCCTAGATGCAACCCACCCACGGGCACACCCTCACCCAAGGGTAAATCCCCCCCAGGTGTAACCACCTCCCCCGAAGTGTAACTCCCCACCCCAGTGTAGCCCCCCCGCCCCTGCACACCACCAGGTGTGACCCCAGCGGGACCCCCACGCGCACTCACACCTCCCAGCTGCCCCCGAGTCTCCGCAGCCCTAGGCCGGTGCCCCCGGGTCCCTCGCTGCGCCCGGCGGCCCGGCCCGGCTCCGGCTGAGGCGCATGTGCCGCGCCTCCTTCCCCGCCCCCCGATCGCGGCCGGAGCCGGGGAGGCAGCGCCGAGCCGAGAGGGTGCCGGGCGGAGCGAGCATGAAGGACCGAACGGGGGAGCTCCGCGCGGTGAGTGCCGGCCGGGCCCGGGGTGCGGGGCCCAGCGCGGGGCTCGCCCGGGGGCTAGTCCCCCTGGAGTGATGGGGGGCGGGGAGCTGGCCTCTCCTGGGGGTGAGATGGGGCGGGGGAGCTGGTCCCTCTGGGGGGTGAGATGGGGTGTGTGTGTGGGGCTGTGTGTGGGGGAGATGGGGTGTGTGTGGGGGGGAGCTGGTCCCTCCTGGGGGTGAGATGGGGTGTGTGTGTGGGGAAGTTGGCCTCTCCTGGGGGTGAGATGGGGCGGGGGAGCTGGCCTTTCCTGGGGGTGAGATGGGGCGGGGGAGCTGGTCCCTCTGGGCGGTGAGATGGGGTGTGTGTGGGGG